GTTAGATGTCATAACACCGAAATGTCCGGTATGCAACCCAGCGGGAAACGCCTTACGGAACGCCATTACGACGGGGGAATCGCGTTCCACACAAACCCCGCACCAGTAGATGCCTCGACCAACACACCAACAGCCGACGGGCTAAGTCGCGACGCAAAACTACCTGGAAGTGCAACAAATATTAGCATTTTCGATAAAATCAAAAATAATACAAAGAAATATTTGCCCAAGACTGTGAGTATGCCATCCTACGAAGAAAGAATGAGGAAGTATTTGGAAGCACGCCAACGCATAATCGCCGACAGCGCCTTGATGGGACGCCGAAGGGTTTCGCGGAAATTTCAAAAGGCGCCTGATAGGTTTCGACAACGTAAGCTGCTACGCCGAAAGGTTGTGTCGTCGGTAAAGAGCGCAGATCAAGCGGATCCGCGCGTTTATGCCGACATCGAAATTCAGGGCATTCGTACACGCGGATTGTTAGATACTGGCGCATCGGTAAGCATTCTGGGCCGTAGCTGTAGGGAGTTCATAGAAGAACTAGACGCCTCAATTGAACGGTACGTTTCGAGTGTAAAAACGGCTGGAGGACGCTCACACAATGTGATAAGCAAACTCACCTTACCTGTAAAGTACAAAGATTTAGAACAAAATATAACTTTTTTTTATGCCCTCACCTTGAACAAAATATCTACTTAGGGGTGGATTTCTGGCGCGCATTCCAGTTAGCTCCAGATCTGATATCAATAGATTAAATCAACTTCAGCAAATTAGAGCGCGATTTGGTGTCCGAAGAGGATAAGAACGAGCGGCGTGTCCTGCATATTCTTTCGGCGGAACAAAAACAACGTCTACAGCAGGTGGTCAGCGGCTTCGAAACTTATGAAAAACACGGGTTAGGACGCACTCACCTTGAAAAGCATTCCATCAAGCTGGTCGACGAGGTGGTGCCAATAAAAGACCGCCGCTACCCTTTGTCCCCGGCAATGCAAGCGATCGTTTACGAAGAAGTAGATAAAATGTTGGAATTAGGCGTGATCGAGGAAAGCGAGAGCCCGTGGAGTAACCGCACGACAATTGTTCGTAAACCGGGTAAAAATCGCTTCTGCCTCGACGCGCGCACTCTGAACGCTGTAACCGTGAACGACGCCTACCCGCTGCAGAACATCGAAGCCATACTCAGCCGCCTCGACTACACCCACTTTATAAGCAGTGTTGATCTTAAATTCGCCTTTTGGCAGATTGAGTTGGAGGACAAATGCAAACCATACACTGCGTTCACGGTACCTGGACGGCCCCTGTATCAGTTTGTAACAATGCCGTTCGGTTTATGCAACGTCGCGCAGCGTTTGTGCCGATTAATGGACCGCATAACCTCAGAAACTTAAAGGAAACGTTTTCATATATCTTGATGATTTGCTGATCATTGCGCCAGATTTTGATTCGCTCCTCCAAATCCTAAGCGAGGTATCCACCTGTTTAAAAGATGCGAATTTAACCATAGGATTATCGAAATCTAAATATTGTTTTAAAGAGCTGCCTTACTTGGGGTATATCGTTGGTGGCGGTATACATAAGACCGACCCTGAAAAGATTAGAGCAATCCAAAACATTCCGATAACGAAAGCGGTCAAGCAAGTTCGAAGTTTCCTCGGAACCGCCGGCTGGTACAGGCGCTTCATAAAAGACTTTGCTGCGATGGCAGCACCTTTGACAGACCTGCTGAAGAAGGGCCAAAAATTCGAAATGAATACGCAAGCCCTGGAAGCTTTCAATAACTTAAAGAGAGCGCTAACGAGCGCACCTGTGCTTAAACATCCAGATTTCGCTAAACGCTTCTTTGTGCAATGTGACGCGTCTGAGTACGGTGTGGGCGCTGTGCTATATCAAAAGGAAACCGACGGATCGGAGAAGCCCATCGCGTACTTCAGCCAAAAACTTAACGATTGCCAGCGCAATTACACCACCACCGAAAAGGAATGCCTCGCCGCTGTGATGGCCGTCAAAAGGTTCAGGCCGTACATAGAGCTGATGCCATTTACTGTGGTGACGGATCATGCTAGCCTGAAGTGGTTGATGTCGGTAAAAGATTTAAGTGGGAGATTAGCTAGGTGGTCCCTACAATTGCAGACATTCAATTTCCAGATCGAGCACCGCAAACAACGTAGTCGCCGATACACTATCGCGCTGCATTGAAGAAATCGCGGACTCGCCAATTGCAAACATGGACACCCTGGAGTTCGAATCGCAGGAATACCAGGAGTTGGTGAAGACGGCCCAAACTAATGCTGAGCGACTGCCCGACCTAAAAGTAGAGGATGGTCTTGTCTTTAAGAAAGCTGTAGTTAATGATGTCGAATGCGAGGAGAATGAGTGGAAGCTGTGGGTGCCTGAGTCGCTTACCTCTGCCCTTATAGAAAACGCTCACTGTGTAGAGACCGCCGCACATGGGGGTATGGCTAAAACTCTAAGCCGCTTAAGGCGTCTGTATTACTGGCCAAATATGGTAGTCCAAGTCCGCAACTTTGTACGCAATTGTCAGACCTGTAAAGTGACGAAACCAAGTAACGCGACTCTAAGACCCGGCATAGGGAACGAGGTAGTCACAGATCGGCCATTCCAAAAATTATATGTAGATTTCCTCGGGAAATATCCCAGATCAAAGCGCGGGAATAGTTTTATTTTTATCGTAGTAGATCACTTTTCCAAATTTATTTTCTTCAAAGCGATGCGTGAAGCCACAGCTGCAAATGTTGTAAAATTTCTCACGGATGAGATATTCCACAAATTTGGTGTTCCGGAGATCATACATTCAGACAGCGGGAAGCAGTTTGCGTCAAAACAATTCACGCAGCTGTTGCATGCCTATGGCGTTAAACATATGAAAACCGCGTATTATGCTCCGCAATCGAATGCAGCAGAACGCGTAAATCAATCGGTGCTGGCGGCCATCCGGTCATACCTCGAAAAGGACCATCGCGAATGGGATTTGTACTTGTCGGAAATTGAGTGCGCCCTACGTAGCGCGGTACAGTCTGCGACCGGAGTTTCTCCATATTTCGCCTTGTTCGAAATGAATATGTTTACGAATGGCGCGGATTACGCGTTGGCACGAAAATTGAGCAGCCTGAATGATCACGAAATTTTTCTACTGGACAATAGCGATAAAATCCGAATAATGCGCGAGAAGATTAAAGAAAACGTGCACGAGACTTACGAAACGAATGCTGCATGGTACAACAAAAGAATTCGCGAAGTTAGTTTTAGGCCCGGCCAAGAAGTATACAAACGCAATTTTGTGCTAAGCGACTTCAAAAGAAACATAAACGCAAAATTTGGCATAGCAAAAGCACTCGGTAATAACATGTACCTTTTGGAATCGCTTGCGGGTAAGAGTCTGGGAGCGTGGCATGCGAAAGACATCAAACAGTAGATCACTAGAGCTGTATAATGCTCCTCTCCGGCGATGAGGGTCAAGTCGTCAGGGGAGAAACCAGCCACATAAAACGGCGCACCAAAAACCTGCAAATAGGCACAAAGTAAACACCTCGCATGAAGTTAGATATTCCAAACTTCCCGCAGATTAATGGCAACCGCACTCAACACATGCCCGGCTTAGCTCTCGAGGAAGGAGACCGTGTCAGGGTATGGGTGTTCCCCACGTTGGGCGTTTGCCTAAATACCACAGTAGCTATCCCTGGACCACCTGAAAAGAGTTAATGCCGATAATAAATCATTAAAATTAAAATACCATGTTTCATTTACTTACCCAGCGCTGAATTTATGTTTGTTCTCATGAAGAAATGTCAAACAAAGCAGAAGTGCCAAAAAGGGAAATTATAAAGCTTTTGATGGGCAGTTGTTGCCAGACGAAAAGTTGTAGTTTGGAGAGTTTGGGGAAAATCTCGAGGTGAGGGATAGCAATAGGGTGCGCGATACCACGATTGGCCGGGTCGGGAACAATGAAGAAAGCGGAAAGAACGGTGTTGAGAAGACATGGGGGCCTGACAAATAGCATATAAAAGGGGGTCGGCTGAGTTCCATAAGAAAAAGAATTGCCGGTGTCATTGCAACGTTCATAAAGTGCGCGCTAGTTGAGCCTTGTCTTTTTTTTTACAAGCCTTTTTTAAAAGTGCAGTAACGTCCGAAAATTTTCTTTAGTGAAATAAAAATAAATTCTAAATGCATTTTTAAAGTCGCGAGTTGCAAAAAAAAGAACAAAAAAAAATAAATTGTGAGGAGTGTAGGCGAAGAGCCCACGATCACCTCTAAGCGCCCGGGAGAACGTGGTCATCAGAGGCAAGAAGAGGGAGAAGCCGATATTATACTTGCCAAGGCAGGAGGATTGGCCATCAGCGGTGACGACCATATAAGGCCCAAAGCACAAAACCCGTGGAAGAACCCCCCCCCCGCCAGCGACACTGTTCCAGGAGATAAGGTTAACCACGCCAGTGTGAAGGCAAAAAGGGTACGGCACAGTTCGCTGGTGAGTGCTAGGCTTAAGTATCGTAAAATTCTACGCAAAAGCTTTTGCGCGAGGGAAATATCTACCCAAAAGGATTTTTTTTAAAGCTCGCAACGAGGAGCAAAGATTCAGCCTTCCGGTTTGTGTAAGGGGTCAGTCGAGACCACCACCGGCATGTTATAACCCAATCATTGGGAATAGATGTTACACTGCGCGCCCCAAGTATAGTCCCAAAAATATTAATTTTTTTAGAACATTTCATTATTTGCAATATATACGTTCATACATTTTTGTTGCTTAGATGATTTGTTAATAAGTTTGTACGTATTTATACTTTCGTTTTTTTTATTGTCTTTGTGCCCGCCAGGCAAGAAGAACCCAACCAAAAGCGTAAATTGTAGTAGTTTCTGAGCGGGGAATATCCGGCTCCCGGAGACCCTTCACACCATCCGAAAAGAGCTCTTGTAGGTAGGGTGGCAGGTTTTCTATATTGTTTGTTTGACATGCGTGTATAAACGGTGATCAATTTGATTGGTTCCTTTTTGTTGTGGCGGCCGGAAACCGATCATAAAATTCATTGCTTTTCCTGTTTGTAAGTTCTTATGTTTTATAATAAATTTTAACGTGTATGTAAAAGAATTTAAAATGTGGACTTAATCCCTTAAACAGGGGAGGCGAAGATGACAAGGGGGGTAAGCTGAGGGGGGGCATTGGAGCATGGCAAAAGGGAGACCGCAAGGAGACACATCAGGCGGTCCATGGATGGGTGGGCTTCCTGTGGGTGTGATATGCCAGTGAACGAGCCGCCACGTCCGCCCGGCACCATTGTGGCAAGGGTTAAGGATCCGGACCACCCAATTGCTGAGCTAGCCAGGGCAACCACAATGGTGGTCTGAAAATGGGCGACACGTGTACGCGACAGTCCCTTATGATTTTGTGAACTAAAGGAACATAAAAAACTTTTCTTTCGACCGCTTAACACCTGAAACATAACGAAACATGATTTTCCTTTTTAAAATTTCTTATTTGAGCGTATTCACTGGCGCATAGTGGCAAAAATATTTTTATGTCAAAAAAGCTGTCTACTCTTCAAATCGCACCCGATTTTGATTATTCTCTTTTTTCAGAAGGTTCGTTAGATATTAATTTTATTGTTTGGAGATGTTGCTACTTTTTTGAATAGTTGTAAAAAATATAGCAAATTCGGCCCATATTAAAGGTCTAAAGGGCGATCCCTGGTCCCAGCAATGGCGAATTAAAGAATGTAATTCTGGCATGATTGTTGATAAACATATGCTCTCCCGCTTATGATTGTCATTGTGACATGTTTTTATTTCGATTTTTGTAAAGTTGCTTAAAAAACTTACGATTGCTATAAATTTTGCCCCTCCTTTTGTTAAGATTTACAGATTTGGTGTCTTCTAACTAAAAACAAAAGCACCAAAAAACGCACCAAGCACTAAACTCTAAAATTTTCGCGCTTTGAATAAAGAAAAGCACTAAATTTAGTGCGAAAAGCACCAAGTTGGCAACAGTGCTCATTAGCTCTGCCCTCGCGAGGGCGTCGTTGCTAGCTAGGCACTCATTTGCAGCAGCAGACGAGCGAGGCAAATGAGGCAAGCAGATTAGACAGGCAAACGGGTTGTTTGGCCAGCAAAAATGTATGGGATTTAAATTGCATTAACTAGCGAGTAAAGGATTGTACGCACACATGCAGATATAGATATATATGCATACATATATACACATATGTATGTATTTATCTATATATATAAAAATGGTGTGAAAAATGTATAGTAATTCATCAATTGAGAACGGTTGGGCGGATTTAGCTAAAATTTTCTCTTAGTTATTCGTAACTGTGAGGAGAAGGTTTTTACGAAAAAAAAATTTGGGAAATCGCTCCGGGAAAGTCGGAAAATTGCAAAAATCGAAAATTGATTTTTTCGTATGGAATTTTGTGTGCAATTCCTTCTGAATGGCTACCGAATGAAAAAATAGAAAACTCTAAGTGGAAAACTCGGAAAAATTCCGAAGAACGCGAAAAATTTGAATTTTTTCGACGAAATGTTGCCTTTTTCGCATGAGTTGATGATTTTGGACGATGCACCTTCGTTAAAATTCGCTGGGAAGCTTGGAAATTTTCGGATAATTGTGAAATTCATTGGGAGCATGAATCAATTGGGAACAATTTTCTCCTGTGGTTCATAACTGATTCGAATGGTTGCTGCTTTTTTGGAAAGGTGTTTAGGAGTAGGAGTGCACAAAGTTTTAATTTTTTCGACGAAATGTTGCCTTTTTCGCATGAGTTGATGATTTTGGACGATGCACCTTCGTTAAAATTCGCTGGGAAGCTTGGAAATTTTCGGATAATTGTGAAATTCATTGGGAGCATGAATCAATTGGGAACAATTTTCTCCTGTGGTTCATAACTGATTCGAATGGTTGCAGCTTTTTTGGAAAGGTGTTTAGGNGATAATTGTGAAATTCATTGGGAGCATGAATCAATTGGGAACAATTTTCTCCTGTGGTTCATAACTGATTCGAATGGTTGCTGCTTTTTTGGAAAGGTGTTTAGGAGTAGGAGTGCACAAAGTTTTAATTTTTTCGATAGGTGGCGCAAGGGTCGAACTACGCTAAAAAAATGCAATTGGTACGTAGGTAGCCTTTTGCCTAGATTAGCATATAGGATACATCTTTCGTTTAAGTGGGCCAGGGACCGATCTATTCGAAAAAGTCTTATTTATAGTCCGTTTTGCTTGAAATTTGGCAGGTAGCTTATTGCCTGGGTTAACATATAGGATATTTTTTCTGATAGTTGGACCAGATACCGATCTGTTCGAAAAATGTTATTTATGGTAGTACACCAGGACCGATCTATTCGAAAATATGTTATTTATGATCCGATTTTCTTGAAATTTGGTACGTAGGTAGCTTATTGCCTGGGTTAACATATAGGATATTTTTTTTTATAGGTGGACCAGATACCGATCTATTCCAAAAATCTTATTCAAGGTCCGATTTGCTTGAAATTCGATACCCGTTTTATAGATATGCGTAGAATAGAATTGAGTCATTGTTTTACAGTTCGAAAGGTGTTTGAAGGCGCCGCAAACATGCGGGTATTGTCTAATTACACTGTGAGACAAATGGTAGGGGTCAGTGATCGGGAAGGGTTCAAACTACCGGGGAAAGTTATATCGGTAAAAAAGAAGTTATACGTGTCCCGGCGTTTCGCTGGGTCACGTCTAGGAATCGAGATATAT